AGATAATGAGTCTATTTAGGTTAAGTTCTTTGGGGTGTTACAGCACCTATTGAAATCTTCTCATCTTTTGAGTTTATCCATTTTTATTAATGATAAAAAGGAGAATGAAATATAATAATATTTATTATGTTCTTACTTAACTTGATATGATTACATTTTATACATCATATGTTTCATGTGATTTTTCTATGATTGCTATATCTGCACAAAATCACCATAGAAAAATGAAGCGTCATAATCTCAGGGAGAGTTTTCTTAAAATTATTTTTTGATCATATGCATAATCTCAGGGGGAGTTTTTCTAAAGATATATTATGAAATTACTCTAATTTTTTTTTCTCCTTATCTGTACCAAAAATCCTTTTTATTACAAAAAAATAAAAAATAAAAGAGAAATGCTTACAATTTTATTTCAGAAGGAGACACTATTTCTAGATTACATGTTGTTCTGAGTAGGCTTCATCAATTTGTTGCGCTTAACTTCTCAATAACTTTTCATAAGCCTCTCGAACTTGAACCTCCCTATTTTCAACTTCTGTGAGTCGTGGAATTATAACGGTTGCGTAATATTGCACCGTATTCTCCAACTTTGCATTTTTACTCTCTAGACTTCTCTTCACCTCACGAGTTTCTCCAAGGATCAAAGTGACACATTTGGTTTGGTTGAGTTTTTTGACAATGGTTTGGTTCATTGGAAATTTGCCTTTTTTCTTAGTGGAACTAGAGGTTGGCACAAGCGATACGTGTATAAGTTAAATAAATAAAAATAAAATAAAATATCTAACATATATTGGTTATAATCTCAAGTGATAAGAGTTTTTCCCATCAAATTTGTAGTTTTGAGTTCAAGTCTTGGCCTTTTTTTTAATTTTATTTTTTTATTTTAATAGCTGAACAATTGGCATAAAAAGAAACAAAACTTCAAGAAACCAATTTAAGTGCTCACATATACAATAATATAAGACATATATTATAAATGAACGATCTATACTTAAAAACATATATATATATTTTTATAGATAAAAATAACTTGATGGTATCACAATTGATATTCAATTAACTTAATTTTTTGTATGAATAATTTTTCTAATTGATTGTATGAAATGAACAATTTAAATCACTAAAATAAATCCAAATTAATCTTATAATAATTTAAGTTCACCATAAAATTGAGATTTACAACTTCAACAAATCCAACATCTTTGATCACACTATATATCTGACTTGAAGATGTAATTTTAAGTGAAATCATGACTTTTAAGTTGCGATTTAAAAGGTGTGATCTTTTTGGTAAATAATTTAGAAATTATAATATTTTTATAATTTGTTATTTGAAAAATAATACTAAGCCAGATCAATGGTGATTCCTCTCACTGACCAAGTTAAAATTTTACTGGTTCGTTACTATAAAACGCTGACGTACACCCAATGGCAGCTGAGATTGGATGATATTGTCTAAACACAGGTCGTAGGATAGCATGCCAATTTAGATAACATTAGCCACGCAAGTTAGGCTCTGTTTGGTGAAGCATAAAAAATCTTCTTCTTCTTCTTTTTTTTTTTTTTTTTTTTTTTTTTTTTTTGTTAATAACATCCACTATTTTTCAATTTGGCTTTTAACCAAGCTTTTGGCTTTTTTAGACAAATGATTTGGGAAGTTGGTAAAAAGTGACTTTTGACTTTTTTGATTAATATTTGTTTATGATGTCAAATCATAATAAAATGACTAAACTACCCCCATTTATTTAAAATATTTACAACTGAACCTATGTAACACATTGTGACCCATGAGGGGTAAAATTGTAATTGCACCGTTGGCTAAAAACCAACTTGCCAAATGAAAAAAAAGCCAAAAAAGTCAACTTTTGACTTTTGCTACTAACCAAAAAAAGTGACTTTTAGCCAAGTTTCCAAAATAGCCCTTAGTATCATCGTATTTTAACCACTCTAACGAATTAATTATTATAATAGTTATTTTAACAGAAAAAATTGTACGGAGATACATTTTAAGAGTCTTTGCCTTTATACATAGGTAAAATAAAAGCAGAGCCGACTGTCTCTTTTTTGAGAGCCCAAAAGCATGCTCCTAATATGAAGCTTCTTCTACAAACATATATATAAATGTCCCAAAAGTAGAATTTTAATATGAACCAATTTTTGAATATGTTTTGGTAAAATCAAACTAGTTGATAATTCAAATTTTATTTAAAATTTTCAAACTTTTGCATTTTTAACTGTAAATTTAATAATTAAGTTTATTTTAACCAACTTGTCAGCCAAACTTATTCAATTACCTCACTGAATGTATGATTCAATCAATTTTAAATTTGAAACATTTCTTTTTTTTTTTAAACAATTGTAAGTAATAACTATAATCAATAACATTCTGTATACAATTCATATATTTAGAAAACAATCATCAATTAGTTTTAAATAATTCATTATATCAATAAATTTTTGTTTCTTAGGAACTCTTTTGAGCAAGTATAATAAAATAAATAAATAAATAAATAAGACTTGATATTTTTTCAAATTTTTTGAGGATCTTTTTCTCAACCAATTTTCAAGCGTCCAAAGTGGCCGCTTGTGCGGCTTATACCCAAACACGGCACTGAATAAAGAGCAGCGTTGAAACACATAAATGGAAAAGGAATTAGACAAAATAAAAAAAAAATACTTTTTATATATTTTAATTAGTAAAAAATAGAGAATACAATTGAAATTATTAGTTGTTTGGGTTCCACCAAAAAAATTTAAATAAAAAATCACTTTTTTTACCGAACCCATCTCGTTTGACATAAAAAGATTTATTTTCCAAACTTTTTTCTATAATGAATATTAATTTTGTTTTTCACTTTCACTTGAAAAGGAAATTAACCTTAAAATAACAAAAAAAATACAAAAATACAAAAATTTCACTAACGACAAAATAAATTTCAAACCCCATATCAAACTTCCCAATGCCAAAAAAAATATATATATATTAAACAGAGTTCAAACATTCAGATGCTTGTAAACATCAACAAATAGAAATTATGTACAGATTTGCATATGTTAACTGAGAGGGTAATTTTGGTGAAAATGGGGCCGAGCTATGAGATGGACTTTATGGCCCAAAGTACGAAGGACTGGGTAAAAAGGCTGAAAAGTTACTCC